AAGAATGGCATTGAAGTCGACAAGGCTAAGATTGAGGTGATTTCTAAACTTTCACCTCCAACTTCAGTGAAAGGCGTGTGGAGTTTCTTAGGCCACCCGGGATTTTACCGACGTTTCATCAAGGATTTCTCTAAAGTGGTAAACCCGTTGTGCAAGCTTTTGGAGAAAGATGCCAAGTTTTATTTCAATGATGATTGCATGAGAGCCTTTGAGTTGCTAAAGCTCAAGTTGACCACTACTCCCATTATCACCGCTCCAAATTAGAATGTTCCTTTGAGCTCATGTGTGATGCAAATGATGTAGCAGTAGGGGTTATTTTGGGGCAACGCATCAATAAGATCTTTCATCCGGTCTATTATGCAAGCAAGACCATGAATAGTGCCCAAGTCAACTACACCGTTACGAAGAAAGAGGTCCTTGCTATTGTGTTTGCTATTGAGAAGTTTCGCCCGTACTTGATGAGTGCAAAAATGATTATTCATACGGATCATACGACACTTCGCTACCTTATGAGCAAGAAAGATTCAAAAGCCCGTTTGATGAGATGGGTACTTTTGTTGCAAGAGTTTGATATAGACATCCAAGATCGAAAAGGAAGTGAAAACCAAGTGGCGGACCACTTGTCTCATTTGGAGGAGGAGGGGAGGCCGTATGATGGCCTTGAAATCAATGACTCCTTCCCCGATGAGCAGTTCTTGGCTAATTCAATGAAAGAGGTGCCTTGGTTCACAGATCTTACAAATTATCTTGTGAGTGGTATCATTCCGGTTGAGTTCTCTTCAAACCAAAGGAAGAAGCTAAAACGAGATTATCAAGACTACTATTGGGATGAACCATACCTTTTTTGAATTTGTACGGATAGAGTAATTAGAAAATTTGTACCGGCGGAGGAACAAAGTAAAATTCTTAGGGTCTGTCATTCTTCGCTGTATGGTGGTCACCATGGTGGAACAAGAACAGCGGCTAAAGTGTTAAGTTGCGGTTTCTATTGGCTCACTCTTTACAAGGATGCAAGTGATCTCGTCAAGCGTTGTGATGAATGTCAGAGGGCCGGTGGAATATCAAAGAAAAATGAAATTCCCCTCACCACCATCTTGGAGATTGATATTTTCGATGTGTGGGGTATTGACTTCATAGGTCCTTTTCTGAGTTCTTGTGGAAACACCTATATCTTAATTGCGGTTGATTATGTGTCCAAATGGGTTGAGGCCGTTTCTTTTCCCAACAATGAAGCGAGAAGTGTGGTGGCATTTTTGAAGAAGAACATCTTTACAAGATTTGGTACTCCAAGGGCTATCATAAGTAATGGGGGATCGCATTTTTGCAACAAAGCTTTCGACACCTTACTCACCAAGTATGGTGTCACTCATAAAGTCATGACCCCCTATCATCCTCGAGCAAGTGGTCAAGTGAAAGTCTCCAACCAAGAGATAAAGAGTATTTTATCAAAAACAGTAAATGCTAACCGGACGAATTGGTCAAAGAAACTTGATGATGCTTTATGGGCTTATAGGACGGCTTACAAAATACTGATTGGGATGTCTCCATACTGATTGGTGTTCGGGAAAGCTTGTCATCTTCGGTGGAACTCGAGCACAAAGCCATGTGGGCTTTAAAGAAGTTGAATCTTGAGTGGGATGTCACCGCCAACTTAAGGGTGGCACAATTGAATGAGTTAGATGAGTTCTGGTACCATGCATATACAAGTTCGTCCTTATACAAGGAGAAGATGAAGTACCTCCATGAAAAGTACATTTGGAACAAGGAGTTTAAAGAAGGTGATCTTATGTTATTGTTCAATTCTCGGTTACGGATGTTTCCGGGAAAGTTGAAGTCTAAACGGAGTGGCCCGTTTGAGGTTGTGAGTGTGACACCCTTTGGTGCATTGGACTTGAAGAATAAAAATGACGAGGTGTTTAGAGTCAATGGTCACTGGGTGAAGCACTATCTGGGAAAATTTGGTGATGGCCACGTCATGGTAGTGATTCATTTCAAGTGATGATGGTAATCTGCATCGTGCCGAGACGTTAAATCGGACGCTTCTTGGGAGGCAACCCATGTTTCTTTTCCTTTTTTTTTTCTTCTTCTTTAGATAGGTCTTATTTTGTACTAACTGGTTTTGAAGTGTGTTGTAGGAATGAGTGTGCTTTGCAGGAACTGTGCTCAGAAAAAATGGCTAAGTGTGAAAAATAATGCAGACCGCACAATTTTCAATGCCACAACAGAAAGGGATCTGCGGTCGCACAATTCTTGTGCGGATCGCACAACTGGAGATCAAAAAATTGCAAACTCTCTGAAGTTTGCCTGTCAGAGAAATGGCCAAAGTGCGGCCGCACAAGGAAATGTGCGGTCCGCACCAAAATCCGCAGCCGCACTCAAAAATAGGCGGATCGCAGATCAACAAAGAGTAAATGTGTAACAGGTAAAGGAGTGTGGACAACACATGAAATTGTGCGGCCGAACTCATCTCTTGAACTCTTGCCCTAACCGGTCAAGTATAAATAGTAGCCTTCTCACTACTGTTGAGACTTTACGAACTCTAAACAATTAACACAAAGGCGAACACAGTGCACTCAACTGATTCATGCATCTAACACTCATTTCATCATCTTTGATTCTTCCTTAGCATCACTACATTACTGGTATGTTCAATTCATCTTTAAATTTTTCAATTTTCTTAATTTTGTTCATAATTGATGTAACGATCCGACTGGTCGTTACGATATATTATGTGATGAACCGATAGGTCATCTTATATTTTAAAATCTAATTCTGTATTTCAAAGCCTTAAATACCTCGTGTTAGCCCTCCTCGATTTACGTGCACAGTCCGGGTATTTTTTCGGAAAGCTTTTATGTTAAAAACTGATAAAAAATGAAATCTTTGCCTTAAAAACCCATTTGAGTTGACTTTGGTCAACGTTTCAAGCAAACATACTCGGATCCATGTTTTGACGGTACCGATAGGTCCGTATCATGATTTGGGACTTGAGTGTATGCCCGGAATCGAATTCGGAAGTCCCTAGCTCGAGTTATCTCATTTTGTTAAAATTTAAAAGTTTAAAGGCTTAATGAATCTAAAGGTTTGATCGATGTTTGAAATTGTTGATGTCGGGTTCGTATTTCGATTCCGAAACCCGGCATAGGTTCATTTCTATATTTATGACTTGTCTGTTAAATTTGGTGAGAAACGGAGTTGGTTTGACGTGATTCAGACGCCCGGTTGTTGAAATAGAAGTTATTAAATTTTCTTGAAAATTTCTTTTGATTTGGTGCTCAATTCGTAGTTTTAGTTGTTATCATGGCTATTTGGTCGCGCGAGCGAGTTCGTGTCATTTTCCTTAGGTATTGAAAAGGGTTGTAGTAGACCAGCTGGGACTTGATGTTCAACTTTTATTTGTTGACATACCAAGCATTTAGAAATGAACTTTGCAACGTCTTTCTTCATACCACTCCACCAGTAGTGCTTCTTGATGGTCCGATACATGTTAGTACCTCCAGGATGCATTGCATAAGGTGAATTATGTGCTTCAATCAAGATCTGCTTTCTCAATTCATCATCATTATGAACACACAACCTATTTTTATAAAATAATGTATCATTTTTTTTCAATGTAAAATTGGATTCTCTTCCATTTTGGACTTCTTCAACCCGTTTTACAAGCTTCTCATCTAACTTCTGTGCTTCTTGGACCTGCTCAAGTAAGACTGGCTTGACTTGAAAATTAGCAATGATAGAACCATTAGAATTAAATGAAAGACAAGCATTCATGGCTCTTAATTCAAGAAGCAAAGACAAAGGACTTAGAGTTAAACTTGCAAGGGAATTGCGACTCAACGCATCTGCAACCACATTGGCTTTACCAGGATGATAATCAATCGCGAAATCATAATCTTTGATGAGTTAAAGTTATCTACGTTGTCTCAAGTTTAACTCTTTTTGTGTACCCAAGTACTTCAAACTTTTGTGATCAGTAAATATGTGACACTTCTCCCCGTACAAGTAATGCCTCCAAATTTTTAAGGCAAAAATAATGGCAGCAAGTTCAAGATCGTGAGTGGGATAATTCAACTCATGCGATTTCAACTTTCGAGAGGCATAAGCAATTACTTTCCCTCCTTGCATCAAAACAGAACCCAAGCTACGGTGAGATGCATCACTGTATATCACATAATCTTTTCCTTCAGCTGGAAAAGAAAGTATTGGAGCTTGTGTCAACAAGGATTTGAGATTTTCAAAGCTCTCTTAACACTTGTCATCGACACAAACTTGGCGTCTTTACCGAAAAGTTTGGTCAAAGGAGAAGCTATAATAGAGAAGCCTTTCACGAACCTCATATAGTATCCTGCTAAACCCAAGAAACTTCTTATCTCAGTTGGAGTTTTAGGAGGTTTCCAATCAACAATAGCTTTAATCTTACTGGGATCAACCTTCACACCTTCAGCTGATACAATATGCCCAAAAAACGCCACTTCACTCAGCCAAAATTCACATTTGGAAAGCTTCGCGTAGAGTTGCCTCTCTTTCAGAATTTGCATGACAATCCGGAGATGCTTATCATGATCTTCTCTATTCTTGGTATAAACTAAAATGTCATCAATAAAGACCACCACAAATTGATCAAGGTAAGGCTTGAATACATGGTTCATTAGATCCATAAATGCAGCAGGAGCATTTGTCAAACCAAATGGCATTACCAAAAATTCATAATGGCCATACCTGGTCCTAAAAGCAGTTTTAGGAATATCTTTCTCCCTCACGCGCAACTGATAATATCCAGACCTCAAGTCAATTTTTGAGAACAAGTTGGTACCCTTTAGTTGGTCAAACAAGTCATCGATTCTAGGCAGTGAGTATTTGTTCTTGATTGTTACCTTGTTCAGCTGTCGGTAATCAATGCAAAGCCTAAGAGTTCCATCTTTCTTTTTCACAAATAAAACAGGAGCTCCCTAAGGCGAAATACTAGGATGGATAAAACCTTTCTCAAGAAGTTCTTGCAATTAAGCCTTCAACTCTTTTAATTCAGCTGGAGCCATTCTACAAGGAGTGATAGAAATAGGAGTAGTTCTAGGGACAAGCTCTATAGGAAATTCAATCTCTCTTTCTGGAGGCAACCCAGGAAGACCATCAGGAAATACATCAGGAAAGTCGCACATGGTGGGTATGTCCTTAAGACTTGGACTCCCCAATAGTGTATCGACTATATGAGCAAGATAGGCATCACAACCTTGACAAATCATCTTCCTTGACAAGACCGCAAAAATAATATTAGATGTCAATGATCTTTCTTCTTGAACTACTATGTGTGAATATGCAGGAGTTATAAAAGTCACTTGCTTCAACCTAAAATCAACCAATGCATGGTACCTATGGAGCCAATCCATACCAACAATAACATCATGGTCTTGGAAGGGCATTTCAAGTAAGTCTGCAAGGAAGACTAGCTTTTGAATCATGAATGGACAATCTCGGTAAATCCTGTTAACAACAGCCTGATGACCTAATAGACTCGTGACCAGCACATCAAAGTCAAGTCTTACAGATTTAACAGTATCAGGAAATGTAAGTGATGAGCAAACATAAGAGTGCGAAGATCCAGGATCAAATAATGTAACAATAGATATGCCAAATAAGTAAAATTTACCAACAACCACGTCCGGGCCATCTTGGTCATTCTTTTGTCTTATAGCATAGACTCGTGCAGTAGATCTCGATCCACAAGCCTGATTAGCTCCACCCGAACCCACTGTTTGTATATTTCTAGGTCTTGCACCGCTATTAGCTTGAGAATGAGTAGTGTCAGGCTTTTGAACTGAGCCCTCTATATGTGTATAAGAAAGAGGATTAGGATTAGGATAATCCTTAACTTTATGATCCAGACTTTCACAATTAAAACAAGCACCATAAGCTCTTCTGCAGGCACCATAGTGATTCATCCTGTACTGTGCACAAGTAGGTGTATAAGTTTTGCCTTGGACATAACTTGGAGTACTAGCAGTAGAAAAAATTGGCTTATTCTGCTTATGATATGATGACTTCTGTGCACTTTCAGGCTTGGAATAGTCAAACTTTCCCTTCTTGGATGAACCGCCATAATCTAAATTACCCTTCCTAAACCTGTTTTCTCTCTTACTAGCTTCTTCCTTGTCAATTCTTTCCCAAGTAAGAGCAACTTAAATTAGCTTGGAAAAATCCTCAAGTTGCAAGATTGCCACAGACTTTCAAATGTAACCATTCAAACCTTCTTCTAATTTTCTGCACTTTTCTCTTTCACCATTAATAATACTTCCAGCATAGCGAGAAAGCTTGAAAATTTTTTGTTGATACTCTGCAATAGACATACTCCCTTGTCTTAAATTCAGAAATTCTTTTTTCTTAGCATCACAATAGACGGGGGGACATATTTCGCACGAATTGCTTTCACAAAGTCATTCCAAATCAGCACCGGAGGTTTTGCTTTTGCATTTGGCACACTTACCCACTAATCATAGGCATATATTTTTAAAAGAGGGATAGCATACTTAAATTTGACAGCATTAGTACACTCTAGTTGTTCAAAGATCCTCTCCTTGCGCTCGATCCATTGTTCAGCTACCGTGGGATCAATAGTGCCTTCAAATTCAAATCCACCCATTTTCATCATCTCCTCAAAATTCATTTCACTAGGTTCTGACATTGTCCCAGCCAAGTGACGAAAGAACTCAGCCATCTGCTGAAATAGAGGAGTCATAATAGGAGTACTATGACCCATTGCTCTTGGATTACTACCCATTTCATTTTCACTAACATGAGGATGATTTAGGTTAGGTAAGGGTTCATCATCTCCTTCTTGGAGGTGAGGTAGAGCATTATAATGGTCCTGACTTTCATTAACGGATTCAATAGCTCTATTTGAAGAAGATGCCATATTAAAATTCCTGTAAAAGATAAGATCACATTGCATTAGGGACATGTACATGATGCATATGCACAACGAATACATCAAATTACATTAAAAAAGTATGCAAAAATTTATAATCTTCAAGTCATTTTCAAGAAAGAAAATAACAAAAATATTAGGTACGATCACAATAAAAATCCTAGAATCACAAACCTAGGCTCTGATACCAAAACTTGTAGCAACCCCTTTGGGAGAGCGCTACTTACGAAACAAATCTAATTTATTACTTACAACATCAAGAAGATATTAATTAAAAAAAATATTCAGAATAATTTATTAGCAAAAATATGCCTATGCGATAAGGTCCAAAGTGCAATATTTTTATTTTTGAAAATACTCTTTATAATAATTATTTAAAAAAAATAAAATACAATGTCAAAATATCAGCATAAGGTGATATGATCTTTTTTTTTGAATAATCAACACGTTAAAGCAACTTCCTAACATAACTATACTTTCATTCAACATCACTGCAAGTTTGTATTGTACATAAATTTCAAACTATCAGGTATAAAAAGAAAAATTAGTTTTCTGCTTTGTACATATTTACAAGATAAAGTGTAAATTCAGCATATTACAAGACATAAGTTATTAACACACCCTAAAGCAACAAAATAAGTTACTAAATTCAAGTTACAATATTTTGGTCTTAAGATCCAACAAGCCTCCAAAAAACATACATAATACATAAGTGTGATATATATATATATATATATATATATATATATATATATATATACACACACACATGCC